GGGGGGGGGGGGGGAGGGGGGGGATAAAGAGGGGATAACGGGAATGAAGGAGGAAATGGAGGATGTTGTCAAGTCCCGACATGCCTAACTTCGATTAATCAATAGGAGGGAATGAGGTTTCGCAAGACGGTACCCGTTTTTACGTTAAACTCACGATTTCGCCGCTGGGATTCTACGAATGGTGGCGACGCCGCTGGTGGCGACCGCGAAAGACGTGAAAAATAAGAAGGAACAGGCGGACTGGATGCTTTTGATCAATGACGTAGAATTCTTTTGAAGGGTAGAAGGGGCATAGATATTCGTTATAAAAATTCATAATCAAACGGTGATACTAACTAATTGAACTTGGCTTGCTGACAAGAGAATTATTATACTTGCATACATATTAACAGCAATTACATTAATTACACCTATTGAATCCGTGAGGTGAAATAGATGTAATCGATTATCTGACTCGACCTCCGCGGTGGATTACGTAAGTTTACGGAATCTGAAGGGAAAAATTGATGGAGCTGGAGGTGCTGCAGAAAGACGTTGAAAGAAGAAGATACGTGCGACGGAAGCCGGAGGAGCAAAGAGAGTAAAGGGAGCAAGTGGAACGAAGAGAGTAAAGGAATGAGCAAAGAGGATGCTCTCTCTCGCTCTCTCTCTCTCTCTCTCTCTCTCTCTCTCTCTCTCTCTCTTCCCCCTTGAAGAAGAGCACGTTGAAAGGTGCCCGCTTTCATTTGTCACTGTCCAGGACAGCAGAGTAGACGATGCCAGGAAAATCGATTCCCTTTCGCTTATGTGCCATTCACTCGAGAGATTCGAAAGAGTCCCGCGCGACGGACGGTACTCTCGCTGCTCTGTTTTTCCTTGTGTGTTTTTCCTTACCTTCCTTACCTTCCTTACCTTCCTTACCTGCCGGACTTCTGCCGGACTTGACCGACTTGACCGACTTGACTCTGCTCTGGGCTACATTCTTTAGGAACGTCCTATAATGACTATTCACCAGCCACGGTATTTAACATACGTTAGTAACAACAAGATTCTTTTAATCAAGAGCAGAGAGCAAAGACAGATATTTTAAGTCAAGCTCGAAAGGAACTTGCATCCCTTTTTAAAATTGGTTCGTCCTATGACTCTAAATGTGAAAGAGTTACCTAAACTTGTCTTTTCTATGGTAAAATAATTGCACGTACTCGAAGATTCTACGGCACACGTTTCTAGACACTCTACTGTTAACTTTTATATTTTAAGCGAACGCTTATGAACGGACTGAATGACAAAACTATCGATTTCGAATACGCATATACATATAAAGTTCTTAAGCCCCAGGACAGAAATAGCTTGGCGACGCTTTGGTCCCTTAAAAGTCAGCCAGAATCGGACAGTCAATTTACCGAATTAATGTTGCTGCGTTGTAAGGTACAGCAGCAATAACTTGGATGTTAACTGTCAACTCGACACTCGTGCTTGACAACAGTCGAGAGTACTGTCTTGTCGTTGGCCTCCGCAGTGCCTCGAGAGAGGTAAGAAGTGAGAGAGAGAGAGGTGCGAATGCAAGTTACGAATAGGAGCTTCGGAGGGGAAAGGAGCCCACCAATCTTGAAATGAGAGCGAAATTGCCAGATTGTTTGTTGGTTTACTATATGAAAGTAAATGTGGAGGTGGGAAAGCTCGAGGCTTGGATTTCTCTATTTTTGAGTAGTCAGCCGGCGGGAATGGTCGTGTCGGTATAGGGGTGTTAATTATCAGGGTACGATGAGCACAGGGGAAAAGTACCGTCGAGCGACAGGCGGCAGGTTCCGAGTGCAGGTGGGGGGCAACGGCGAGTGAGGAGGTGCGGGGTGCAAGAGATAACGTTTTCAATTACCTCCAGGATGTGATGTAGTTATGAGTTAGCTACACGTAGGAGGTGGATGGGATAGCACTTCTCTAGAAGATTATGGGTAAAGATGTCGTAGTGTAACGAGAGATTAAAGATGGAGAGTCCTAGAGCGATCGAAATACCCAAAGCAACCTCCTACCCCCTACCTACCTACCTGCACACCTTGCCGTATTATAAATACACTATTAGTAGTTTCGTGTCTCTGTAAGAATAACTGGCGCCTTCGACAGGACACGTCCTTAATATGTAAATTTATAGGTACTCGACAACGTTCCGTCTTCGACGTGCGTGAGACCATTCGCCGGTGCAGTTCTTACGAAATACCGTTATTGCAGCACAATTCAGCTTCAGCCAGTTTTCTTAAGCCCATTTATGACATTTTGTTGAGTGCGGCTAGATACGTGGGGTTCAGCTGTTCAGCTGTACGAATCGGCATCTTTCGGAGTAAGGGTCGCGCGGCGCACCATTGGAATTGCAAAATTGCAAATTGGACTTGTTCGGAACATTGTTGAAAGTTTTCGTATTAACTGCTCGAAATCTGAATTCGCGAATCGAGAGTACACGGTTCGGCCGGGCCCCCATTGGCTCTCAGTACGAATTCTAATGTGACGAGCAATTTACCTGATTATCGTTTCTTACTCCTGTGTGATAATCTTATGCTTTCATATACGATCTGACAAAGTTTACCGAAAAAACAGTCACGCGTAATTTCTCAAGCAACAAATTGTCAGAAGTCGAAATTCCATTGCACTTGATTCTTCTTCTCTTGCCAATGACACTTTGCCAATGAATCTTTGTCGATTGTCAGATCAAATTCTTACGACTATCTCATTGTCCAGCGACCATTAACTGGATCGTGCACTAAAAACTTAGAACGTCTCTTATACTGGTCTATAGAATAACGAAAGACACAGGCTACGAGTGAAATGCCGTGTGCGTCTCTCCGATTGCCAACTTCTCAGCAACGACTGGCCCACGTGAACACACTCTACTCTCTCTCTCTCTCTCTCTCTCTCTCTCTCTCTTGCACATTGCTCGGCATTGTCTGAGAAACTGTCGGTGATTGGTGCGCTCATTACCGCAGAGACACTAATGATGCTTGCAGCGCAGTCAGACGTCAGACAAAAGCTGTGACACGAGCAAGCGTGACTTCCACGAGGCAAGAACATCTTGTAGAGCCCTCGAAGCCCTCGAAGCCCTAGAGAGAAAGAGACTGTGACATCTTGTGGCTCCATGAGGAGGAGGCTGCACTCTGAAGGAACCTGACCTCTTGCCGAGCAATGTTTCACCTTCCTCGTTTTACATTATACACAATTATACATGTATTCACAATCAGGGAAAAGTGTCAGGCGGCGGGTAGTGAAGATCGCACGGATCGATCTTCGAAAGAGCGGCAAGTCGGCAAGGTGGCAAGGCGGGAGACGGGAGACGCCGTAACGCGTGACGCGTGCGTAACAATGCACTTTTCGAGTTCAAGTTAACGTGTGGACATGTATTCTTGGATTGGGTTCAGTGAGGTCCGGTTAGGTCGGATTTATATTTCTCAAAGTCCCCCTACGCTTGTTTCTCTTCGCCTCGGGGTACTGTCGTTTGTCGCCTAACGTCTGGCGTCTTCCTTGGAGTTGCCTCGTACTCGCTTAGTACGCCGTTAATATCGAATTAATAAATTGTCAGCAGACAGCCACTGGTTGCCGGTTAGGTTAGATAAGGTTGGGTTGGGTTGGGTTAGGTTAGGTTAGTCACTTGGCACCACGCAGTCCCGAAATACGCGGAAATTAATAAATTGCTTAAACTTAAGTCGACTCCCTAAGTGCTGGAATAAAGGACCTTCATAAATTTGGTCCACCGTGCAGGCAAGAGCCAGTTCAGCGTGTTCACTCGCGCCGGAATTTCCGTAACGTAAGACCGTCCTTCAGCCCCTCTTTAAGCTTCGAATAAACAACTTTAACGATCTTATTTATTTTCTTGCTGGACATTGTCTCGACGTCAGCTCTTGGGCCTCTTGGGCCTCTTGGGCCTTTTGGACCTCTTGGACTGCCTGATCTGTCTGATCTGCCGCTCCCTATCACTGTACATAAGTACACCCCGTACTTATTTATTTTTATTGTAAAAGCTATTGCTCCAGTAAAAGCGTTACTACTGGTCAGCAGTTACAGCTGCTCTGTCCTCTTTGAAATTTTCAACAAATTCTCCAGACATTGCGTTTCAGTTGCGACTTACAGCCGGCTCTCTCTGAGGCTCCGCCGCGCCTCGAGGATCCTGCCTGCGAGATGAAAGCAGAAGGAGAATAAGAGAATAAGAAGCCGAGCGACGTCACAATAAAAGGCTAGGTTAAACAAAAGCGCGGGGTTTCAAATTACCTAAATTCGTACTGGCATTCTTTTAAATAGCTGTCAGACCTCGAGAACTTATCCTTCCAGAGCAATTTTCCATGTGACAAGTAGTAGTGGAGCGCCGTTAAATTTATTTATTCGACAACGGCAAGAACGATGAACGATGAACGATGAACGAGGATACGAGGATACGAGGAGAATCGACCTTGTACTACGTAATACAGGAGAGAATCGACGAGGACGCACGTTTAAAAGGTAAGCGAGAAGGAGAATTACTGCAATTGATTACTTGCAGCGCAAGCAGGGAGCAGGTATGATGATCCGCGACCAATCAAGATTCTCTATTGCGAAAACTGAATCCTTTGCCGTCGAGTTTCGCATTGCAAGTAGATTTTTCGACTAAATCCTTAAAAATCGTTATCAGGTAAGTAGATAAAGTCTGACGAATCATCATTTTAATTGAATTATAAGCGAATATAAAACTATGTATTTACAGTAACGCCGTTAAGTTTACCAATTTGAAAGGCAGGAGGTGTATTTTTAATTGGTTCGTGCAATCGAAAGGATTGGGCATTGATTGTGAAAACTCACCGGGCCGAACTGTTCAAAATAATTTTTAACGTCCTCTAGTGTCGTTGGAGCAGACAGTCCACCGACGAATATCTTCTTTGTACGCGTCACCATCTGCAACAAAAGCACAGAATAAGCACAGTCTTGCAATAAAGTTGTAACTTTAATGGTAACGACCTCTCGTGAAAATGCATTAATGCAATGAGCGCTATCGTAGCACAGGCGCGCACGCGCGCGCGCGCGCGCTGCGAACTCCCCCCCGTCGCCCACCAAGCCCCGCGTTGCATCCGTCCCCGCATGATCTGCCAATGTCCCTTGTCTCTTGAAGTCGACTATTGCACGATCGACATTCGTTAATGAGACCCAGTGACGAGGCAAAAGATGAAGATGTGCCGAGCTGAAGTGAAAGATCGACGGGGAGTGCGGAGCAACGATGTCAAATCACTCGAAATGCGAGATTCTCGTAACGACCGGGAAGAAACAGTCGTGTGACGCACAAGTGCAAACAGCACGGAAGTTTACCGCAGCTCTTCGTCCTTCGAAGAATTTCTCGTTTTGCTCTATCTTATTCTCTGAACAATGAACAGCAGCGAAGCACTATGCTTCCGGAGAAACTTGTAAGATATTCACGATAATTACATGTACCACAAATACATTAATGACAGTGACAACTGTGTACCGTTCTACTGATTAGTGGATTTCAGTAGCAGCCTATAGAGCTTCCCTTAAAAAATGACAATGACGAAAACGCTAACGATACTCCCTCGCTGTATACATATGTAGTATCTGTGTATATTGCTAGACAGGGGACTCTGACGTTGTCGCGCGAGGGATCGGACGTTTTGAGGCTCGATATCCGATATCTCGTTTTAGGTGGAAGGTAGATACAGGCATGGGCGGAGACTGCGTCTGGAAATCGGACATCCGGAGGAAGTAACTCGCGAGCAATTTTAGTGATGACTGGCTTAGTGCTCTTTATACAATAGCTATCAAATCGTATCTCGGATCGGCGGATCTTAGAAGAAAATGGGTGCCCT